AAAAAAAATTACATAAACATAATTACAATCATCCATCATGTTTCTTTTCAAATGACTATTCAAAGAGTTATGGACGTAACTTTATTAATATAGATTTACCACCTAAGCCTTCCACCAACCCGTCTTTTATTCTAACTTCAATTAAATTAAAGAACAACCACCCTTTATTTTTCTCCAATTTTTTTAGAAAAAAAAACTTAAAAAAGAAAAAAAAAGAAAGGACATCCATGAAACAAACACGTTGCACTTAAGAAAAAAAATGAAAAAGCAAAAAAGAAAGGAGAACCATAAAACAACTACGTGGCACACCCAATGAAAAGTCTCATGCTCCTGATTTATGTAAAATTGATATTATTTTAACAACCACATTATTTATTAAAAGAATGTAGTATTTTTTTCTAAACACCAAAATTCTTACATCTAACATTTTTTTCATTATCAATCACATTTGGAAAGAAAAAGACATACTCTTAGAGAAATCATGAAAGACAATTAATAAACATGAATTTGTACCCCTAAATGCTATAGTTTTAAATATCATAAACATTGTTTTAACTCAATTAATCACCACGTTAGTTGCATTATAAGCGTGGTTAACATAACTACAACATGGTAAATAAAACTCAACACAGTATGGATCAATGATCCACCATGTTTCGAAGAACAAAAATGGAGTATTTTTTTTAATAAAAAATAATTAAAAAATATTGAATTACAATTATCTACAACATTTGTTCCCAAATCAATTTTTAAATGGTTATCGATCCAACCTTATCAATACAAAATTTATCTTATGGATAGATTTACCACCTAAAACTTTCAACAATCCATGTCTCATTTTGATTTAAGTTAAATCAAGGAACAATTACACCTATATTTTCATTAGATATTTTAAGAAAATAAAAAAAATACTAAAAAAGCAAAAAATTAAGGAGAACCAATAAATAACCACGTGGAAAACCCAACGAAGGAATAGAAAAAAAAAAGCCAAAAAGTGAAAACTTAAAGAGGACTAAGAAACACTTACGTAGCACTTCCAATGGAGAGTTTTATAGACTAGACTCTAACAACAATGTTTATCATTATAAAAGTGTGGTATTTGTTAAAGTGGGTTATCCTATATCTAATAAATTTTTAATATCTTGTGGTCTTATATTCAAGTTTGGCCCCTTTATTTACTGTCAATTGGTTTTAAGTTGGATGTTTAATATGGTATCAGAGTCAGAATTTTTTTTTCATTTTTCTTTCTTAATTTGTCATGTAAGAGGTTTTTTCTATCTTTGCCTGCATGTTATGGGACTGTTAAAGTGTGTTATCCCACATCTAATAAATTTTTAATATCTTATTTTTTATGTCTAAGTTGAGCCCCTCCACTTACTATCACTTAGTTTTAAATTAAATGCTTAACAGTATTTAATCTATAAACACAACATTTCTAACATAGGGAATGGAGTAAAGAAATTCTTATATTTAACCTTTTATTTATTATTAATCATGTTTGGAAAGAAAAAGATGTAGTTTGGGATAAATCATCAAAGATGTTTTTGAATTAATAAATATAAACTTTGTACCCTAAACACTATACTTTTAACTATGATAAATATATTTTTGTAAATTTCCACTAATGACTACGTTACCCGCATCATAAACGCGATTGATGTAAATTACAATATGACAAATCAAATTCAACACTCAAATTATTGACTATGTTTCAAAGAACAAAAATATAATGTTTTTTTATAAATTAAAAATTAAAAAAATATTGAATTACAATCATCCACAACATTTGTCCCCAAATCAGTTTTGAAAAGGCTACTGGTACAATTTATCAATAAAAAATTTATCTTATTAATAGATTTACCACCCAAAGCTTTAACCAATTTCACTCTCATTTTGACTTAAGTTAAATCAATGATCAACTACCCCATTTTTTTTTTTAGATATTTTTACAAAATAAAAAAATTGCTAAAAGAAAAAATGATTAAGGAGAATCAAGAACAACCACGTGGAACCCCAATGAAGGAAAAAAAATCGAAAAAGGAAAAACTCAAGGAGAATCAAGAAATAGCTACATGGCACTTCTAATGAAGAGTTATGTTCTCTTTATATTTGTAAAATTTATCTTATGAATTTTAAATTTTTTTTATAAAAATACTAGTTTGGCCTCCTCAAACTTAATTTTTTGTGTTGATATACATTACTCTTTATTTTATATATTTATATTGAATATATAATTACAAAAATTATTTGTATCTAAATATTATAACTCTTAATTAAAAAAAAAATTCTTTAACTTGCATTTATTTGTTATAAATAATTTTCAATTTAAAATGAATAATAAATTTGTCAACATTATATTTTAACAAACATGTAAATTTAAGTTTAATATATATATAAGTATTATAATAACTAAAATTGAATTAATAAATATCTAATTGTGATTTTTTAATCAATTTTTTTACTATATTCTGTATTTTCATTTTATTTGAAAATTGTTACATGTTAAAAGAATTAGTATGATTAGTTTAAATATATTTTCATTTTTTAAGATATAAAAATACCATGTAAAAAATTAGAAAGTTTTAATTTATTGTATCAAAGTTTTTATTTTATTGTTTTAAAATTAATTTATTTTAAAAAATATTTTATATATTTTGACTTTAATACTTTAAATATTAAATATTATAAAATAATATATTAATATTTGAAAAAATAATGATTTTATTTTTTAAAGAATATTATTAATGATTTATAATTAAAAATCATGAAACCAATTGTTTAATAAATTTATTTTGTTATATATATTTAATGTATTAACATATTTATAATTGTGCATTTTATTATTCTATGTTTACATCTATTTTTATTATTAATAAATTTAATATATTTAAAAAAATTATTATAAAATATTACTTTAACCCTTAAAATGAAAATCAAATTTTAAGAAACCTATTATAAAATATTACTTTAACCCCTTAAAATTAAAAGTCAAGATCAGCGACGGGTCATTAGAACCGTGTCCATGACATGCTTTGATATTGTCCTAACTACATTCACATAAAAAGGCAGCATATTTTACTTCACTCAAGTACATTTACAGAAGCCCAGCCAGTTATCTACTTTAACTCAGCATCTCCTTCAGCTTGCTTGTTCTACAATATCTTTATGCTTCAGACTTCTCATTGGCAGCCAGCCACCCCTTTAGCACATAGCGGCAATTTATTACTTCTTCCGTCTCATAAATACTGTCTTGTTCTTTATTCTCTCAAATGAATGTCTCTTATGAAAAATTAAAAAAAAAATTACTTTCTTTTATATATTTCCTGTTGGTGAGATTTTATTATTCCTTGTAATAACTCATGATCTGGATGCAAATGGCGTCTAAATGGTATTAAGAGTTACAGAGAAAAACCTCCTTAATTGAGGCGAAGAAAGAAATTAATTAACACCCTCTAACTAGGAAAAATTGTCAAACTATATAGAAGAAATATCCTAAACCCACGATTCAAACTAGTATCAAAATCAAAATCCACATAACTTCAATTTTAAAACGATAAAAGGAGCAGAATAGAAGAAAAAGAAATGAGTTAACAAGTACTGTAATGATGGAATAATTGATCGTTCTCCAAATTGGCTGCCGCTTTAGCTGACAAAATTATAAAGGTATGGGATGAACCTTCACGATGAAATATGATGTTACTTTTAGAATTTCATAGACCATTTCAAATGCCATGGATTGGCTTGAAATATTATGGCCTTATTATTAATTTATTTATGTTAATGATAACTGAGTCTAATAGAGTTGGGCTTGGATAGCTCGAATTATTTTTGAACTAATTAATATTAATCTTGAGCGCAAACAAACAGTTATCACTTGACTGAGTGTCCAAGTCAAGGAGAGCGAGGTGGAGCAAGAAACATATAGCTGCGAATGGCTGCAGCAGTGCCCTGACTGAATGGACATCTTACTTAGCAAAGGCTCCCACGATGAGAGCAGCCTCGAATTTAGCCATTCGACCGAATGGCTGCAGCAGTGCCCTGACTGAACGGACATCTTAATTAGCAAAGGCCCCCACGATGAGAGCAGCCTTGTATTTAGCCATTCGACCAAATGGCTCTCCTTATTCCTACTAATGTAATCGTCAGAAGCCATTCATAAGGGACAATGACCTTAGTCCTCAGAGCTCAGTCATTTCCCTCGAAACCAATGCTGGCTTTTCATATCAGCATCACTTGGTCCTACCGAGTCCATTTCACCTCATCAATGAGTGAAGATGCATCACAGGCACCACTTCAAGTAAACTATATCATCACACGATCTCATAAGAATATCAATCTTTTCATTGTATAATAATAATATATATATATATATATCTTAAACATGATTTAATAGTAAGTACTTGATTTCAAATTTCTTTTTTCAAATAATTGAAATAAAAAATCTTGTAACATGAAAGGACACAAATTAAAAGATAAAGCTTGCCATTAAATCTATTTGAACTTGGATAAATATAAACTGTTTTGAAGAAACACTTCAAATTTCAATTTTTGAGCATCTAAATTTTTAATTTAAAAAATGCAATTAGTTTGTTACTTAATTACTTCCTGCTTTAAAAATCAAAACACATTTGCTTCAGACAATTAGACTATATATATATTTGAAATTGAACAGCTTTACACAATTTATTAATATTATTTAGCCATTAGTATTATTAATTAAAAATTAAGCTTGATTGACATGGTCTACATTCTGCCAGGTCCGGTACAGACAGGCTGGTAAAAGATGGTAAGAAAAATCGAGGAAACTGTTTGTCATTAAAGCTTTGGTAAGGAATACCATTTCGACACAAATATTTAAGTCAATAATCAATGAACAGGTTCCTAATAATATTGTAACCTCAAAATTAGTATTCAGAGCTTGAGGCCCAAAGCTTTCCTGGCCTCTTGCTCTGGGGAGGGGATTCTCTCATTTATATCTCCTCACTCATTGATCACTGAAACCAAAAAACACCAAAAATTTCATCCAAAGATGTTTAGCACAAGCCCTGACCTTCCCCAGAATAAGACACTCCAAATTAAGCAGGAGGACAAGTTCTTTTCCAGGCTTTTATCCAAGGAAAACTCTGTCGCCAATCCTTCTTTCAGGGTCTACTATGGTGGAGTCTCCGGTACTGTCCCCTTCATGTGGGAGTCTCAGCCTGGTACTCCCAAATATACATTCTCTGATACATCTCTTCCTCCTCTCACTCCTCCTCCTTCTTACTACTCCATGCCCAACTCAAAACCCATCAAGAAGCACTCAAGATCTAGTCTTTTGCACGCATTGTTTCCAACAATGAACAGTTTGAAGAAAACCAATCTTGTACCTTCATCACCTTCTTCATCGTCATCGTCATCCTGGTCTTCTTCACCAATGTTTCTTGCAATCAGTCCCGCGAAATATCAGAGGAGGAGTCGATTTTCCACCCCAGGTTCATCGTTTGATTCGAGAGTAGATGATGAAGAAGCTGCAGCCATTGGATCACCAACTTCAACTCTATGTTTCACCGTTAATGGTAGGGGGAGTGTAATTGGTAAACTTCGTGGATGCTACGGCTGGTGAACCTAAAGCCTCCTCGTACGATCTGGCCAATACAGATTTGCTGGATGAGAACTCTCTCACGTTAATTTGTGTTGATTTACTTTGTAATCATTTAAGTATCGTAGTTCTTCTGCGGTAATTAAACTGCGAAAAATCCCAAAATTGTTGAATCCTATGGTAGTAAATCATTTAGTTTTGCAGAAAAAAAAGTTGTATTTTTTTTTTCAGATGTGTCATTTTTGTAATCACCACCTACCTTCGTCCTTATTCATCCTGTTAATCATTTTTTTTTCTCTCTTTTTGTTTATAATAGTACTAAAATTACTAGTAAAAGTTTGAATGCGAAGAGTTATCAGTCCTGAAGAACTTGTGGGTTGCGGCTAAATTTGGCAAAAGTTAAAAATTATAAACCTTAATTTTAATAAGTTTCAATTTTTTTTTTAATATTAATCCATAGGAAAAGGGCAGATCTTAGTTTCAAACCAAGATCTCTAGCTTTTTAACCATTAAACCAAAGAGTTTGAGAACTTAAAAATTTTCCTATTCATAAGTAGACTTATTAAAAATATTATCTCAAATAACTTGTATATTGGATAGACTTCTGGAGATTACGGATTCCATATGTATCATACTCATAAAGTCATATTGTTCAAGTTAGGTAAATAGATAAAAATTGAGAATTAAAAGGTAAATTAAAATTTAAAATAAAACTTATTAATTAATGGTAATGTTTAAAAGAGATTTACTCAAGAAATGATTTTTAATAAGGTAGAGGTTTGATTCCAATATTTATAATTTTTTTAAAAAATTTTCTTAGGTTGGACCTCATATATACCAAAAATAAAAAGAGAACTCAGTCATAATCATCATAAACATATCCTTCGAGTTGCACTGTCCCATAATCAACTCAGTTATCATCATTACCATCTTTATGTTGGTTAACTCAATTTCTAGGCTTATTCTGGCTTTGTCCCCAATCAGCGAATAATGTCCAAGTTTGGGTTTTTGTTTATTGTGAAGGAGATAATTTTTACTTGCAGGAGTAAATCTTGATTGTCTGAGCTGCTTTTGGTTTTAAGTCAGAATTATGGGTAAATTTAAGGTTAAAGGGTAAAAAAATTTCTTGAGTTATAATTTAATAATAATTTAAATTTTTAATATTTTATTACAATTAATTAAATTTTTAATATTTTATTCCGACTCAATTGGATTCTCAATTTGACGAAATTTTGTCACATGAAAAAATTAAATATAGCAATTCCTTAACCATAGTTAATTAAATCAAGTAATCTCCAAACTATAATAAATTGAATCATTAAAGAGATTTTAAAGGGAAATTAATAGAGAAAAGAGAGAAAAAAAATAAAAAGAACAGAGAAAGAATTTTTTATTTTGCTTAATTTATATATATATTAATTACATAACATGACAAATTCTTTTTTTTTTTATTGATGTCAAATGAAATTTTATTTTAATTAAAAAATTAACGATATTAATTTTTTATTCAAATATAAACTTAATTGGATATAAATAAATATTAAAAGAATTAATTGATTATAATAAAAAAAACTCTGATATTTTTTAATTATAATTTAAAGATTTTTTTTATATCATTTAGCCTAAATTTAAGGAGAAACTGATTATATTCCAAACATGGGGTATGGCTCTATTAATTGATCCTTAAGCCTGGCTTACTAATTTAACAAGACTAGGGAATTGGAGCCTTAGCTCTTAATTTCTATCCAACAATGGGTTGTGATTATTTCATGAATTTTTTTTTTTTATTTGAAAGGAGGAATCGAATTAGTGACGAGAATAGATGAACTTATCAGTAAACTAAATAATTATCGAGAGAAAGAAAAAAAAGTAAAAAAGCGACTTGGAATTCTAATTACTTATCATTACTTTACAAATACTAGTAGTTTTGTAGCAGCCGATATTTTCTTTGCAAATGTATCATATGAAATTAGAGTACCTACACTCTCAAGGCTTTATCAATGGGGAAATATTCTTTGAAAGGGCAGACACTAAAGATTTTGTTGAATAATTTACTTCGTTTGAAAAGAACATGATCTTTGTGGTGCAATGTGGGTTGTTGATTGGTGAAGATCTATCTTCCTACCTCTCTGTCCTTGTCTGGCTATTTAATTCATGGAGGAAAGATGGGTACAGGTTCCTATCTTCATATTTAATTTGAATACTCAGTTGTGTGCTTTTTGGAATCTTTCTTCCACTGCCTTCTCCTACCACAGTATACAAATCTTGTATCTTTTTGGAGAGAGGAAACCTCATGTTGGTTTCTAATTAGTCTGTAAGCATATAAAATTTTCAACCTACTTCAACCTTTCCATCAATAAATGCACATTTCTTATGTGTACAAAGAATCAGTCACCATCCATTGCTTTCCATTCTTTCATTTAATTTACAGTTGCCTGAAACAATTATTATGAGGAAACCTTACTTATACATCCACTAATAAACAACAATAACCTGCCAAGCAAAGGAAAAAGTCATAATGTATTTACTTAAGCAAAGAATGTTTTAAGGATGATGATAATTCATTTACAGACCAAAAGCTCATATATATTGAATTAGCTCTGCCTTTTTCTATCGTAAAACAATTAGCAATTGGATTAGACTTGTATGAGATGTAAAATAATAGAAGAAAGCAAACTAAAATTAGAAAATTCTTTAATGCATTAGGATCAACATTTTTTAAATCGTTTTGAAAAAATATAAAGTTAAAAGTAAATGTGAAAACACAAGAAAATGAGAAAAATCAATTGGTCCATTTCATTGACCACCTTTAAGTGAAAACATTAGGGGCTTCTTTTGTGACTGTATCAAAAGAACTCAGCCACGGCAAGGAAAAAGAGGCTATCAAAAGAACATCAAAACAATTGAGAAATGTACCAAAAGATCTCTCATTCTTTACCTTTCATTCAAAGGTAAAGACTAAATAATTAGTAACACAATCAAACACCTATTCCTTTCCGAAAAAAAAAACTAAATAGCCATGTTATCGGCAGTTTTGCAGGTACTGACCTGGGCTTGTCCACCGCGGATCCATCCATGTGAGGGTGGGCCATTTTCTGTATGGGATATCTTATACAGAAATAACTGCTTATGCCTGCTGATATTCCTGGAACCCATTTTCGTACTGTCCATGGGTTCAATGCCTATCTTCAAAAGAAGAAGAAGACGATGATGCGCCCACAATATCATTAACATTGGAACTTTCATCGATTCAAGGCTGCCATAAAACTAAGATAGCTCGACATAATACAGACAGACTTTTCAACTAGTATTTTGGATTTCTTGAGAATGGAAAAGAAGAAGTTGGTTTTTAGGGTGAATAAATGTATGGAAGGATTAAAATTACTTATTTTCAAATCTCAAATTAAAACCTATCTTATGCTCGTATTGATAGTTAACTTGAAACCTAATGGTAGAACATGTTTAAAATATCATGATTTATTGTTTGAATCATGAACGCCTCATGCTTAAATTTCAAAACAAAACCATACTATTTACTGTATGTAAAAAATGCAAAAGGCGAAGAAACAATATTTTACTCTCACTCTTAATTAAGGTTACAAAACTTGATTCTCAACCTTTTTAACTAAGGCTTCCTTAATTTTAGCAATGCTCACATTAAAGATTTAAATAGCGGTCAGATAGTGATATAACAGCTGTTATTTCGTAGTCGTGCCACCATTCATCACTGCTATTGAAAAAAAAATAAGAAAAAATTTGAATATCGTCTATAGCAGACGTATTGCGACTGCGAATTGCAGTGTAACGTTGAATAGTAATAATAGCGATCCACTATTGCTTGCTATTCTGTTTTTCAATCAAAAATTCAAGAAAAAAATTTATTTGATTCTGTTTAAAAACTTAAAATAAAAACAGCAAGAAAGAAAATAAACATCAATTTACAAGTTCAGAAAAAAAAATCCACAAAACTTAAACTTTCAAAAATATCAATTCTTTCAAATTTAACTTCAATCAAGATCAAGTATATGCAGTTTAAGGTAAATAATTAATTCAACACTCAAATTACTTTTTTTTTTAATTTTTAAATTTACCGTGATTTTGTGTGTTTAGGATTGAATTGGGCTATGATGCATTAGTAGAAGGGGACAAGAGTTGTTGGGATTTAAAATAAGAGAGTAAGACTTGAGATTGATAGAGATGAGCATATAGCACACACCAAAAAAAAAAAAAAACTCAAATTTTTTTTTTTGGGAAAAAATATTTGAACTTGATCCTTGAGCCAAAAATACTCGCACCTCTTAGTTGCTCATGCAAAATATATTCTTCTTATAATTGAATAAGTTGTAATAAAATTTTCAACATATGCTCCAGCATAAATAGAAGCTGTGTGAATAACCTTTTCAACAGAATAATTTGAATAAAATCAAAGCTGGGATATCTTCCATGGATTATAATTGGCATTCAAAGTTCTGAGCTTATTTACCTCTTTACAAGGAGGGGTAGCAGCATGCAATCTTATATCAAAATTTCATATTTAGCCTATATATTGATATAAACAATAATATATATTACATGGTTAAATTCATTTCCCTAACTTTTGTGAAGATCGATTAATGTAAGGAAATTAGTTTTAGTGCCAAGGGAGGATAATTGATATGCAGGTAAGAGTATCAAGTCTTAACCTTCAAGAATAAAACCAATGTTTATAATAATGTATATACCTTATATATGCGTCGTTCGTCATGTGTCATGATGTATATATGAAATTCCTTCTCTAGTCGGTCCACCTCATCAGGAGTTAAGTCAGAGAAGCAAAACAATCCAACCTGCAATTTTGCATATTCTGATGAGTTAAAATTATGATGCCTTTGACCAACATAATTCTATATTTTAATCTTATTTTCTTAAATTAGAATTTATTAATAATAGGGTTCAAAAATATATTAGAATGATCATTCAAGCTTAGCTCAAGTGGTAAGGATAAATATATTTTATAGTACATCACGTATAAATTCTATTTTCGATTATTTATTCAACTTTGCTTTAAGTTGAGGATTTGAAATAGGTCTTTAACATTTGAATCTCATTCTCCAGAGGATATTAAGGAATATGAGATTATTTGAGCAGACATAATAAATTCGAATCAGCTTTTTCTTGCACACTTAGAAATGAACAATTGTGAAATGATTAAAACAACGAATCAAACAATTTTAAGGCCCAAAATCTAATTTCTTCGATGTGCCTTTCCATAGAAGAGCTTAAGGCCTCTTTTTAACAACAAAAACAACCTTGCCAATACTTGGTTGTTTTTATGTTGAAAGGTTAACATGATGATATTAGAGCAGGCTTTGACCCTTTTGTTGGCCCAATCTGATGGATTTGTTTTAAGTGTGAAATTCATGCTCTGCTTTATTAGCATTGCATCGTCTACGTTAGGTCTACGATCCCTATATATGACTAACTTTTTAATTGGTTTTAGATGGAATATTTAGCAAAAAATGAGAAAATGATTAAAGTATATGACATCAATTTAAAATATAATCTTGTTTCACATTAAAATTAAAATGTCGTTTTTTTCCAATTTATAAAAGTTCTTTAGAAAGATGAAAAGTTATTTTTCTTTTAATTTAATCAATTCTTTCAAAAATATTGTTTTTATTTAAATATGCGTTGGCCTTTTTACTTTTTAAATTAATGAAAATACGAATGGTTAGATTTAATAGAGCAATAAATCAGACAATAATGAATGTAAGATTGTTGGAGCAAACATGGTAAGATAGAAAAAGGCAATTTTATTATAAACTTGAACTGAGTATCAAAATAGATTGAAACCATAATCAACAAACAAGGTCTGTCACCTGATTTATTCCTAGTGCTATGAAAAGTTCTTATTTCACAACTGTTGGGACAAACTTTATTAAGACAAAAATTTCATGAAACAATTGCTTATGGTTAATAGTTCACCATCCTGCAATTGAGCCGAATTTGTCCCTGGTTCCCAGTCAAAGGCTTAATGTTCCCCATCTTAATTATTGACCTAGCAAAATCATACCAAAAAGCTTCAGGGTACAAGGTGTAAATCTTTACAAGATAATCAGTGGAGCTGCCATTGAAAAGTGCCTGATCTGAGATGAGTAGCCCCCTCTGCTTCACCAAGTTGTTGAAGTACGCAGTGTCAAAGAGTGCCGGTGTTGGGTCTAGAGGAGAAAGGTTAGTGTCTCCTCCAGTGCGTGGACAGGTTGCTTGTCGCTCTTCTGCAAAGACAGGGTCGATGTTTGATGCATTATAAATTCTTTGCCTAAAGGTTCTACATTGTGCAAACCCAATGGTGTGTCCACCAGAGAGGGCAACAAGATCTTTCTCGTTTAGACCCTGGTTTTTGAAGTTGTTGATTAATGCAGGGAGATCCATGAATGGGCTTGGAATGTCGAGGTTCGCTAGCGTCCGATTGGCTGTGGTTGAATCTCTTCTCCCAAGCAGCACCTCCCATGATGGCCCTCCTAGCTGCAATTGCAAAGCCATGTTCAATTGCATTTTTCATTAGAAAATGCTATATAATTATTGATTTTATAACAAAATTCTGATAATTAGTAGGATGCAAATTGCAAATACGCACTGCAACTACAGAATCGCGAGCTGCAACAGCCAAGATATCAGCACAAGAAACCACAGGGCCTCCACAAACTTCATCCACCGCCGCCTTAATTTGGTCGATCACTTCAAATCCTCTTGCAGAATTATTATTGGCAACAGCAGTCTTTTCACTGTCAATGGTGGGCGTAGGATCCAGAAGATTCGAAGCATCACATCCCTGCGTTAACAAAGATAAAACTGTTCAAGTCAACAACCACAGCAGCTTATATTGTTGAGATTCCTGAAAAATATATAGAATTATTCCAATATAGTAGATCAGTACGTTAACAAAGCAGTCATGGAAGTGAAGGCGAAGTAAAGAAGCACCCATGCGTCGCTCTTTATACACTGCAGCCTCCACTACTTTTTTGATGGTTGGCAAAGCTTCGGGACAAATATTTGCGTAGTAATCCGGAGACAACGAGAAAGCTGTGGTTGCAAGAGCCGACAAGAAAAAGATTTGAAGGAAGATGTGGGCACGAGAAGCCATGACAATTAGTAATTGCTTAACTGAAATTTGCTTAATTTGAGTTTACCTTGTATTGTCTTTTTGGTGTAATTGGTGTGGCTATTTATAGTGATAATCATGTAGAATTCTTTTACATGGATTTCTTCATGTTGGACTTAGCCAGTTGGAGTGGTTCATAGATGTTGGCTGTAACCGCCTTAAATGCATTTGCCTATCCTTGCACGGAGTAAGATCTATGCTTATTGTTAAAAAAGGATTACATAATATTAAATTAACACTTACAATTTAAGTTACACCAAATTGACTATATTACTGATTCAATTTTTGAAGATATTTTTGCCTGGCCGCCCAACTACAGTTGAATAAATCTAGAATCCAAAAATAAAATAATTTATTAAAAGATATATAGAAGAATAATTTATAAAACCTTTAAATCATGCCTTAGTTTACAAAAGAAGAAAAATCAAAATACTATTTCCTGTTATACAATTAACATTCGGGGCAGTGAAATTTTCAGGAATATAAAATAAGATTAAATATGTTGATGGTTTTTCCGGACCTGTCAAGTTTGATGCATTCTATAGATTATTTCCTAATCAAACCTTTCCGGCTCTGCCAATATCGACACGGTTTAGAGATTACAATTCCATAATCGGAACCTGTCAAAATCGACACATTTTATATATTACCTTTACCATTTTGACAAAGTCAATGAATAGGTTATTTAAAACAAAAAAACCTCCCTCAAATATTAACTTAATCAGTAATAATACGATGTAAAATCTTTTTTTTTTTGTCGGATATGGCTGCTTTTTTTAAAAATTATAGTTATAATTAAATATTATATCAATAAAATTAATAAAATTAAATATTACGTTATGATTAAATTATAATAATTAAATAATCAATAAATAAATTAGAACATAATTATATAATCAAATATACATAAAAAATTTTAAATTTAAGATTTCAAAGTTTTAAAATTTTATTTTTATTACTAAATCAAGACTTCATTGATTCGGATACGACTAAATCTTAAATTCAAACAATATCATATGAATTAAATCAGACCCGAACAGAACAGGCGTGCAACAATAATCTGGTTCCTTTCAAAGACGAAAATTCACTACTAAAACACTTTATAATTTGTTGAGTTATTCTTTTCGCATCTATTATTACTTTTTCAAGGGCATTAGTTTTTGAAGTTATCAACAGTGTAAACACTCACTTTAATATTTAGAAATTTAAGAATAGGCCAGCGTGCTAGTTGTCTTTTTTCTTTCTTTTTTTTTATCCTCTGTGATTATTTATTTAGAAATTAAGATCGTCTTTGCCTTCAAATTCTTTTTTTTTTTTTCCAACATGCTGTAAAAGCAAAGATGAATGCTCAGGTGTCACATGTCGAGATTTAAATTTTGATCTGTGCGACTTCAAGATTCAGATATTTACTCATCCGACATCTCAGATCAATATACATGTCACTATTCATACTTTTATGAAATATTGTTAGTTCTGACCCTCTTAACCTCACGATTTTATCTTACAAAAGATGTCTTATAAGAAAAAGATGGTGTGAATCATTTAATATCTCAATGATCGTTTTTTTATGTTCGATATGAAATTCATGATTTCTCTTTAAATTCATGACACATGCACCTTGATTTAATTAAATAATTTTAGAATTAAAGATGTTTGCTCCGCCTTCATCTGAGCCTAATTCTTTTAGTCAAAGCTTCCTGTAAGTAGTTTCTTATTGTAGACAAAAATTAACTTGGCATGTGAACCGTACCAAAATTATTCGAGGCCTCCAATAGCCCAAAAGAACCATGAATGCCAGATTATTTGAAGTGACATGGTAAAAAGAAATTTCTGATGGCACACTTGAAAAAAACAATTCTTAATTGAGTACAATCAATCAAACAATTAAGGTTAATTGGATGATATATTCTCCATTCAACTTTCCAGATAGAAGATTTACAATGTCTTTTTAACTTAAAAAATGAATACTAAATATCAAAATGATTTCTTGAAAAAATTCGACCCCAAAATCAATTGCTTCACCACTTCTCCTTCCTACAGTAGTTGACACGAATTTGTCGTCGTTTGCAAGTAACGAACACGAATTTGTCCACATAGTACTGCTACAATAGAAACAAACAAAAAAAAAAAAAATATATATATATATATATACAACTATCAAACAACACATCAAACACTGTTTATTCAAGTTATTTCAAATTGCAGTATTAAGATTCGAAGGAACACATAATCTTTATTCACTGAATCAATGATAATTGAACACAAATCATTTAATCGAGTCTTGACAGCAACATTAATCTAATCAGTCACTTGTTCAATTCGTTTATTAGTAAAAAATTATTGTGGAGCAAGTTATTAGTAATAAAATTTTAAATAACAATAATAATTGTTCAACTTAGTTTACTAGTAATAAATTTGTGAGAAGATGACCCATAAATAATTGTTGGGCCTTTCTTGGGTTAGTTGGTTCAACCCATTTGGCTACTGAAATTATTGTTCGATTATGAAATAAGTGTTGTAGAAACAATTTGTCAAAGATGGGCTTGTCCAATATGGACCTAATTATTCTAGTGTAATGCGTTTCTTTTAATGATATACTCCATTGTTTTATTGGTTGAATTGTCTATTACTGTTTAATTTTCAGTTTTTACCCTTAATCTTCAATTGAAAGAAATGAAAAGGGACTGTGCAAATTAAAATGATTTCGCATAAACCTGTCAGTTTGCTGCATGAGAGTATCGAATTCTGCACAAGGACAAATTAAGTTCAAGTAGTAGTAGCAAATTTTGATTTGCAGTAAAATTGAAAAAAAAAACTTATTATACACCTGAAAATACAAGAACAACATTTAATTATCCATTTTTTCCCAATTAATAAAGTGTTCAAAACCACCAAATGGGAAATATCAACAATAAAAGATGGACGACTCAATTGACTTTCCGACAATTCTTCCTGATTTGGCCGCTTGTTCCAGTGAGTGGGCTAAGGTTTCCCATCTTTACCGTTGCATTGGCAAAATCTGTGCTATAAGAGATCCCAAGTTGGAGCTGTAAGCATTGACCTGATATCTGTCTGTTGAATCCCCATTAAAGAGCTGTTGGTCAGAGTGTAATAATCCTTTTTGGCTCTGGAAATTCTTGAAATATGCATTGTGGAATGATGTTGGACTTATTGTGTCCAGAGGGGAAAGATTGTTGTCTCCTGTGCTTGGGCAGTTAATTTGCTCTTAGCGAAGTTGCAAAGGATTGAGTCAATCGTTGTCTTATTGTAGATTCTTGTACGGAAGGTTTGTGCAGCTAGCTTGCCCGGTGGTGTGAGATCCTGAAGAAATTAATCAACAAAATAACATCATTTCATTGATGTAAACGTGAATTTGATAAGATTGTCTATCGAGTTTGATGGCTAATACTAAATAAGTTAAGTTGCTAACAGCCTCACATGCCTGAGAGGGCTACCATTAATTTAGCACTGTAACCTTTGTTTGAAGAGGCACTGATGAGGCCACTAAGATTATTCAAGGTTGGAGCAGGGATGTTGCTATTTAGCGGCATTCAAGCTTGCCGTACGTTCGAGCAGGGATGCTAGAATTAGCAGCATCCAAGCTTACAGCGGTTGAATCTCGTCTTACCCAAATGTGGCATAATATCAAAACATAATTGCTTTTACTCCAAGTTAAAGCTAATACAAAAGAATATATGAGAGTAAGTATTACCTTTAATTAGTGTTTTTTTTTTTAAAAAATTTTTAGCATAAGAGGCTACAGATTGATAATAGTGAAAAAGATTATAATTACTGAAATTCTAATTCATTGGATATCAATATTTTTTAAGGTGACTATAAATCAAATGATTTAAATTCTAAATTCATTAACCTTAGGCTTTTAAGTTGGAGTAAAAGCAATTATGTTTTGGATTTATGCCACATTTATTAGAGTTTAAAACCCTAAACCCTAAATTTTTTGTTTTTGTGTTTGTTATTTTTATGGCTCTCGTCTATTCAATGCATGTTTCTCCACTATTCCTTCTATGTATCTTTTCTTTGAAATTTTTTACATACCAAAATAATTTTAAACCCAATAACTTAAGTCTTTTCATTTTTTTTGTAATATAAAACCACCATATTAAGTTTAGAAAGCTTCAAGATTTATATGGTCTCAAAAGCCTCCACTCTATATTTAAGATAATTTTTATATTTTTAATAAAGATTACATTGTTTAACTTCCTACCATATGCTTTATTAATTTCAAACTTAAATCATCTAAGATAATAACAAAATACTTATGTTAATGATATAAAGAATATATCGTGATTTTTTCTCTATAAAAGAATATTGTTGCTCACAATTTTAATTAAGTAGAAACCATAAAATAAATTGCTTAACATATTTCATTTTGTTTAATAAGTACTTATGTATAATTGTGAATTAATTTGTTGTTATAAGTTAATATATATTTTGCTTGTATCAAATCTTTTCAATATGAACTACAGTATGCATTTGGAGGAGACATGGCCTACATTGAACAGGCAAAGCCAGATCTTCACACACTTTTTCACCTTGTGAATTATTATTTGCTCTAGAGATTCTTTCTAATGTTTCCAAAACACTGCATATGCATCAACACAACAAGGCAGAAATGATATAAAAGAACAAAAAGCCTATGTAAGAGGAACTTTGTATCCTATTTTTCTTGAAATGTTCCCCTTAAAGTCAATTTTTCAAAAGCTTATAATCATTACATATTACACACCTAACTTACCATCAATTACTCAAATGATCATATTTAAAATATATATATTTTTTGAAAAGTAATTTTTTTTAAATTACAAGTTACAATCTTAATTAAATATTATATTCATGCATAAAAATCACTGAATAATTTAATAAGTAAATTAATTAACAAACAAGAATATAATTAGAAACAAACTCACACAAAATAAACTTAAACTCAAAATCTTAAAATTATAAAACTTTCTCTTTATCACTAAGTCAAAATCTTATTAATAATAACTATAATCAATTTTAACAAATATAAAATCCTAAATGATTAATAAAAAAACTTTTAACCCATTGTCTTTGTTGCATTTGGTGTAAAATCTTATTTTATTAAAAAACAAAAACTAAACTTTTTGCTTTCTTCTTCCGATGGTCTGCTGCTATATAATATAAATACCGTTCTGCCTTTCCTTTTGCTAACTCATTCATCTTTAATGAAAATTAAATATGTATTCAAATTTACATGGGAAGGAGCCGTTTTATCTGGTGATTTTTTATTGTCAACGACCTTTGAATAAGCAATCACATAGAAAAGTAGTTGATACACATAGAGAAGTCAATTATTGTATTGATTTTTTTTCGGTAAAGTTGGGACATTTTGGAGTTTGAAAGTTTCTGAAGTTCATATTTTTTGGATGCTTTAATAAATTTGATACAAAGGGATTTAGTAGAAGAAGTAAGATTTAGGCTCGTATAATGTTTAAGCGATTTTAATTGTTATTCTGAATTTAAAAAAAAATAAAATTACGTACTCACATTTTTAATATGTATGAACTATTGATGAATTAAGTTGAATGCTACCAAAACAAAATAAAATTAACATCTCCTGAAAGTAAAATGTTTGTCAAGGGGAAAAAAAATACATATATGCTCTTTATAGTACGTCTAACAACATGAAAACTTTCTTCTAATGGAAAATTATTTTATTTGTGTTTTTCCATGACCTTTTTTTCATTATTGTATTAGCTGAACTCAAACTTCAAAAATCCATAGCCTGATTGAAAATTTTGATTAGATTAAGAATGATAATAAAAAAAAAAGACAAGGAATTTGATAGAATTAGTTTAATTTCTTAATCCATCATTTTACATGCAAAATCTTTAGAGCTTGATAATGTTAATTAATTCGCACATGCTTGTATTAATTATGTGTTTTTCTTTTTAGTTTAACTGGAATGGAAGATGTTGAGGTTCAGATGTGGTAAGACTTTTATACCGTTAAATAGGAATGATTTAAGTACTTGATATCCTTTTAAACACTACAAAAAATGCAATTAGTAACAAGAATTTTATGTAATATATTATAAAGATGCTGTTAAAAATATTTGTAACAACTTGGGATATTTTTATTGTGAAACACAGTTTGTCACATTCATTGCAATACAAATTAAATTTTTTGTCACAAAAAGTGTCTAGCCAAAAAGAGGTATATTGCTACAAAGAATGAAAAAATATTTGCAATAATTTTTATATACATTATTGCTGTAAAATGTAATTTGCAATATTTTTTATGTTGAAAAAAATTAAAATATCAAACATTATAAAAAAAGTTTTTGTTTCTAAAAAAAAATTCTTGAATGGATATTCCATTATAGAAAAGTATGAATATTTCTGTTTACTATAGTAATTGTAATAAATTGTTTGCTTTTCTTTTCATAGTATATATATATATACACAATCATACATATATATAGGTATAGTATTTCAACTACAAATAACCCTCAATTAACTCAAATTCTATTGCCAAAATTATGAATATGAGCGAGTGAGTGACAAAGTACAGAGAAGAGAATAGAAGAGAAGGTATAAAATTCGGCTATACTAGAAGAAAAAAAAAATTATCATGTAAGTTTAAGTATGCACTTTTTCTTTGGCAAGATTCTATCTCTTTATCCAATGTTTAAATATGTAATGTACTAATGTCCTTTATCAACTGCTTCTAATTTCTTATCTCGACTTTTTAGATAGCTTTCAGGTCTGCATCGAATTGAATTATAGCAAAGTTTAGGATTATTTTCCTTGAAAATTGTAAGAAGGTTCTAAAGATCCAAGCAAGTTGCAACTTGACTTCATTATTCAATCTGATGTTTATGAAACTGAATCCAAATCAAAGAAGATTATATGTAGAATATGAGAAACCAAAAAAAAAAATGTCTTCTCTTCTTGTTTTCTACTGTGCTTTAAGGGTTTCTTTTTGTTTGTATTATTTTTGCTCCGAATCCTATTATTAGTATATAAATTGATGAGAAGAAGATTTAAAAGCTGAAACTTCCCTTGATAAAGATAAAAGTTGTTACACCGCAACTGCAACTGATCAAAGAAATCGATGAAGCAATCTAATCCAAAAGAAAGCAGAGAAATCCTAATCCTGCTGGGTATTTTCACTCCATTTACTGATAGCCTGGAGCACTGCTTGCTTCACCATTTGAGCATCGATGCCTTCAGCATTGCCTTGATTCTGAAAATCAACAATAATTATGACTGTCCAAGCAATAAAATATGGATCCAATGCTAACCATCCATTATTGTGACTGTACATTAATGAAACAAAATCCAAAATGTGTGGTTCAAAACCCATGCTGTACAATTTACATGTGAGGTTTCTTCTTTCTTCTTTCTTTTCTTTTTTTTTTCAAATTTATTTTTATAAAGAACACAAGTACGAAATCAGAAAGTGCCTTTAGTCAAAAAAGAAAGGCAAAGGGAAGAGAAAGGAACTGTATAAGCCTACATGACAAGACATATACTTCTCTTTTTAATTGAAACTCACTTTGGGATGAAAGAGAAAACAATGAATTACCAAATTCCTTACTTCTCCTCCAATGGCCTCTAGTTGGAAATTGTCTTCGCAAGAAACCCTAGCGTCAAGCACGTCAAGGCCAAGCTCTTCGAAGGTTTCCAATATGGAAACAAGCAAACCAGGGCAATTCTTTTCCAATAACACATTAATAAGGAAACCCTTCTGTAGGGTTTCCACTGTAACCTGCTGAAACCAAATAAAAACCTGAAATCAACAAAGGGATCCTTTTGCCGTTGGGGTTATTTAGCAAAGGAAATGTTTAAATCAATAAAATATTTATATAGATTCACCATCGGCAGAGGATTCTGGGAAGTTGAAGTTTGTGAAGTTGAAATTTCTTGGTTCAGTTTATCCACCTTTTCTTTCAACTCCTCTATATATCTCGATGCATCTACAATGATTGAGGTCTTGTTGACCTGGCACAAAACATAATTTCCAAAGAATCAATAATCAAACTAAATAGAAAATGAAATAAAACATCATGATCATTGTCACACTGACTCACGCCATCAACAAAGTTTTCACACCTACTCTTAATCACATAGACTAAAATATGTAGGTATTTTTCCCTATTTATTCAACAGCTACTTTTAGCAAAGCTTTCTTTTTTCATGGTTTCATTGTTAGGATATAGAACAGAACAGAACAAAAAAAGAAGCAGCAGGAAGAGAAAAAGTTCGATTATTATGCTAAAAAGTTAAAGAGTTTTAGGCCAATTTACAGCAGTAGAGTCTGTAACAGAGCGAAGCTCTTGCAGTTTCCGATAAACAGATGCTTTCTTTCTACCTCTAGAAGACATGATTCTGCCTCGAATACTTAGATCAACTTTTGTTGTTAGAAATCTTTGGCCCTGCTTTGCCCTTTCTTTTCACTGCAGGGATCAATTTGAGGGGTATTTAAAGAAGCAGCTTCACCATCCATACCTACAATATATATTTGTTTGTTTGTTTCCTGCATGAGGGCCTGCAATTCCCCACATGAAATTATTATTCATCATATCACAATTTACGGAATTGACCTCATTAATTTGCAAAGACTTTGATATGCTTCAAAATTCATCATAGAAAAATAAATAAATAAATATTGTCAAAGGCACTAAAAAAAATGGAAAACAAAAGGAAAAAATTACAACCAAATTTTTATATCTCGACTATGGCCTAATCTCAGAAAGCTAGGTCGTGTCAAGTCCAATAGTGGAGAAAAAATAATAATAACAACAACGAACACCCATTTTTATGACTAAACCATATCACGCTAAACATTGTGCTTCAAGCATACAATATTGCCTTTATGTGGTAAGAAACTGCAGATACATAAGAATCCAATTAAAAAATTTGGCTACCAATAACAACAAAATCTTGAAATAATTTAACTTTCAATGAAATTTTATATGTTTTTGTTGAAGTAAATTGGGACATTTTGCAGACAGACGTGGAAGATAAAAGAAAAGTAAAATATTTGTAAAGGCTCCAACATCTTGTTATTTTTCCATCAATGTTTTATATCTTGAAATTTAGTATAGTATATAGAGTCAGACAATTATATACATATACCTGCCTTTGAAAGGGTTGAAAATGCTACCAAAATTTGCATAAATCGCTTTTCAGTTCTTGCATATGATATTTAGACAGAAACTATAGAATGAGTCAAAGAAGCCACCAAAAGCTAACTAGAGTAGTGAGGGCTCTTTGATTTAGGATATCCATGATTTTAGATTTTTTTTTTTTTTTGGCCTAAGCCACCGCTGAACCCTACATATATAGATCCGCCCTTGATTTGTTACTTGAATTTAATTTCTTTACTTGTAATCACATTTACGTGAAATTCAAACTTATAAAACATATTTAAAGGAACATTTCAAAGATTGGAATTGAAAATTGTCATTTTCAAACGACTAAATTTAAGGAAAAAAAAAAAAGAGTTTTCATATTCCAATTTTTTAAATGGTAGAGAATTTATTGTATGGGAAATAATTATTGTTTAAAAACCAAAGGAGCTGCAGTATGTATAAAGATATATACATATATATATGTTTATATGTATGTATGTATATAGAGTAAATTACACCGTAATTGTAAAAAAAAAAGGTAAAGAAAAAGTAAACTAAACTATTAGTCACTTAATTTTATTAAAATTACTATATTTTGGTCATCATTATACTAAAATTTCTATTTTAGTTACTAACAATACCTAAATAATCTGATTATGCTTTGTTAAATTCTAATATAATGCCATTTTTTTCCTATTATGTCATTATTTTTTTTTCTTACACGACATTGACGTCAAAGCAAAAATAAAAAACTATTTTCTTACAAATAAAAAATATCTTTTAATTGGGTGTATGCATCAAGTAGGACAAAATTCTGACATGGCAATTAGAATGACATTCCTTCAGAGTTTAACTAAGGACACGCTAAGTTCAACGTTGGTGATTAAAAAATATTTTTAAAATCACTGATCAAAATATAAATATTATAAATAATCTAAGTGAATAATACAGTGACGTTTACTCCCTAAACACAAATATATATAATTATGTGTGCAAAACCATTCTTTGATGATAACTTGACTTGATTTAATGGTTTATTACTGTCCTTAAGAGGATTGAGACTCAAAATTCAAAATCCCTACTCTCTTTACCTCCATATGTATATACACACCCAAAACTATTATTTTGTGTTGGAAATCATACAATCTTTTATTTTAATTACGTTTAAGTGTGTAAGTTAATATATAAGAATTGACCCACGACCTAAGCGAAGTTCAAAAAAATAAACTACTAATTAATTTAAACAACTTATATTCATTATTGACGGTGAATTTGTTTTGTATATATAAGATCATCACCATTTGAAGGCTGTTCAGGTGGTAAGAAAGAGATCCCAAGGGATCATATGGAACATTTGTACGAATGTCTTATTTAATTCGAATTCAATTCACAAAAATAATAAAGAAACTTACAAGTAAAACGACCCTTAAACCATAAATATAATAATACTAGATTTTTATAGGCACAATGCTTCTATATTGACATACCATTATTATTTTAATTAATAAAAATCAATTAAGGGTACATACTTTAGATAGCTATATGTACCTCTAAACTTTAGGGTAATGCTATCCTTTGGGCAAACAACATTTTACTATTCCCTGACGTATGAAGCACAACTCTAACTACATCGAATGACTCAAATGCATCACCCAGGATACTCTTTTCAAACATTTATGGGGAGACAGATTCTATTGCTGACGGTTTGCCTAAATCTGGTACTGTTTCTCGCTTGGTTGCTTTGGTGACTTGGTTTTAATTGTTTGTGGCTAAATTTTCTTTTATGTCTTCCCCATTTTCTTTCTTCTGCCTTTCAAAAAAAAAAAAAATGTACTCTATATTGATTCTAGGGCTGCAAGTTCCATGAGTTACAGTTGATGCTCACAAGTTCAATAACTTTTAAGCTACAAAATTTTGAAATTGACTTAATGCCTTATGAAATAGTATATGCAAAAGATTTTGCAGCCAATTTTATTTATAATATTTGAACTTGTTTTGTAATTTTTGGATATTAATGTAGAATTTAATTTCCTTGGGGTGTTTCAAAAATCTAAATTGTCAAATTAGAATCCTTTTAAATATTTTATTTGGTAGATTACATTGTTTTTTACTTTAGAAGAAAGTGTGCTATTGTAGTTAAGTTTGTAGCCTAATAAGCAAGAAAAGAATCTCATTACAATTTCAATTCTTCTATCTTGTTTCTTCTGTCTCTCTCATTATCAATTTTTTTTTTTTTCTGAAGAATTGTTTCTTCTCTCTCTCTCACTTTGGTTTGTGAATTTCAAAAGCTTACTTCATTTTCCGACTTAATTAATGAAACGTTCTTGTCTCTCACTTCTGATAATTTATACATTCTACTGCATTAAATATAAATTTTATTTAAAAATACAATAAAATTTTGAGATTTGAATTTCAAAATCCAAATAACTCCTGAATCACTTAAATTTGGTTGAGTGGCATAAGAAGTAGGATTTGAATTGGATTTGAATTGAGATCTTAGGTTTGAATTTTTAATATTCTTATTTATTTGTAGAATAAAAAACAAAACTCATTGACTCTTAGTGAAAGTTCTTTATAAGTCAATACCTAACATAAATAAATTATTCAGATTATTACATTAATCAACTGTAATCTCAACCACACATTTACCCAAAAGAAAAAAAGGCGTATCTGTTGCATCCGCACCTCTAGCATCTTTAAAACAAAATTTTGTGGCATATCTGTATCTAATTGCAGCATATGAAAATTTAATGAAATTTCAACTATATATATAAATATTTATTTATAAAGATAGCATTGTCACCATTTCAATTAAATAGAAGCCTCAAATTAAGAAAAAAAATCCTAATAATATTTGTCATTTTAAAATGGGCTATAATAATAGTAATAACTTTTTGTATAAAAGAGATTACAAATTAAAAATAAAAAAATAAATTGTAACTGTTGAAATTTAAAATTTAGACCTACTAGATATCATTTTTTAAAAATAATTATATGAACCACTTATTCTATTTTAAGTTAATATGACTATTTTCAATTACTTGTCTCATCTTAATTTGTTGAGCTTAGAAGAAAAAGTCTCTTTAAAACAAGTAAATGAAAAATTATATTCTTCTCTCTAGAATTCTAACCAAAACCTATAGTTAAAAATGGTACATCTTCCAACAATTCTTATCTGTCTTCTAACCAAACCTATAGAAAAAAACAGTAGCTTGGGGATTGCCATGCATAAAAAATACATCGATTTCCCTTACTATTTTGAGTTTCTTTCTTGTTTTATCTGAGTGATCCTTTTCTTTTGGCCAAATATCTAGGTGATCCTTTATTCTTTACTTATATCATAGGAAAAACAAAAAGAGAAATAGAATTCATAAAATTAAAATTATGGATAACCCGAATAAAATTCATTCTCTTTCGAAATAAAATAATGTTAATTTTTATAGAGGGGAAAGGTGACCAAAATTTGCTATATACCCATAAGAAGAAACCAAATAAAAGGGAAGAGAAAATAGCTAGGAATTAGGGTGACATATATATTTGCATGAGAGAGAGAGAGAGAGAGGGACAAAATGATGACGGCGAGAGAGAGAGAATCGGTCCCCGTGAGAAGGATTTGGAGGGATTGACAGCTAACAAATTAACCTTTGACGCTTCTTCCTTCGCTGCTTTCGATGCTTTCTTTCTTTCTTTCTTTCTTTCCATGCTTTGTTCCTCCGATCACGAGCAGATTCCTTTCTCTCGACGTGTAGGTACGAACGATCCGACAAACCCCACCCTCTTTGCACGTGCCCTCTCACCCCACCTCTTATTATTCTATTCTTCCCATAAATTTGCTGCATTCTTTTACGCTTTTGCTTTCCTTTTGTCAATGGGATCCTGTGCCTACGCGTTCTTCTTTTCTTATTATTTAATTAGTAAATTTCATTGTAAATATATTTTTACTATTGTATCTAATAATCATCATCATAATCCATCTATAATTCGACATTTACAACATAACAATTATATTCAGTACAAAAAAATGATTAAAATTTTAAATAAATTAATTTATCATCAACATAAAATCAAATTAACCTTTAATTAATCCAAGATTTAAAGGTTTTGAAACTTTTTTCTTACTATCGAAACAAGATCTTCAATATCGACATTTGATGATAAATAGATGGCATCAACCGATGAAATTTGTGTGTTCTAAAAAATGACTTGAAATCAAGTTCGAATTAGGTCAGAAATCGAGCATAGCAAACTCACAATGGTTTTGTTATTATTTCAAACCTACATCTCAGTAACTAGCTTGCTCTAGCCTATGTATATGGTTGTTCTTCGAGAACTAAGTTCAAATCAACGAATCGGCAAGCGAAGAAACAAACTACACCTGATAAATTATAATAATCAACTCCGATTGTTTTGTGATTTCAAAAACAGTAATTAGTTTATCATACTTTTTTTTTTCTTGTTTAATTTTTCCTATGGGATGAACCGTTTTTTTTTTTTTTGTATTAATCCAAGATAACTTATTGAGCATGCTCTTCTTGTTCTGAACAACTACGCATGCAGAAGGATACTATATCCTTCCTATTTGGGCACAAGTTTGATTGGTTGTAACACTGC